ATGAACCACAAAATAATGCAACACAAAGCAATGTGAAGAAGGTTTCTAAAACTGACACAACCATCTCCAAGGGCACAGGGACAACCAAAACCAAAACAGACAAGGACATTTTGGAGCAGTCCACGAAGGGTGAAAAGAATGTATCTCAGTCATCCGGCCATAAACAAAATAAGACAGGTAAATTAGACACTCTAATTGTGCAGACTGTGGACAAAAAAACTGACAAGACTGGGAAAGGAACACAAATAAATCTGGATATATTGAATCGAACCATTGGAGCTGCATCAGATAAGACTAAATCTCATCATGACAAAACAACTCACCATGACTCAGGGATCAGCATCAAGAGGACTGGAGGATCTGGATTAGGATCTGTGAAGGCTGTAAACATATCTTCCCACAGCTTCACAGTCACGTGGTTAGCACCCCAAGGGATGTTTAAGAACTTCACTGTGATCAGAAGAGAGCCACAGACAGAAGGCGGCGAAGATGGTTACGAGGACTTTGAGGAGGAAGCTCTTCCAGGACAAAAGCCCTCTGCAGCTAGGAACGCAACTGAAGTCTTAGTACAGAGTGAGCGCACCAACACAACCGCCTTCTCCAGGAAAGCTGATGGATCAAAAGTTAAAGCTGACAACAAGAGGATCTCGATGGTGGTCCCGGGTAATGTGCGCTCTGTGGAGTTCAGTAATTTGCGGGCAAACACGCGCTATGTCCTGCATATATATGGTACAGCAGCACAGAGAAGATCAAAGATTCACAGAGTAACTGCAACCACAGGTAATAGCAGCAGGAAAACGTTTATGTATAAGTACATCAATATCTAAGCAAATAATACACTATGTTGTACTTTTTTTCTCTCACTAGGTCCTGAGCCAGCCACAGAGATGGTTTTCAGTAATGTCACAGAGGCTTCTCTCAATGTTTCCTGGTCCAAACCAAAGACAACGTTCACAGGCTTCAGGGTCACATACACCAACATTTTAACAGGTCTGTTAAATACTGCTCATATTGTTTATCTCAGACCAGAGTTATCCAGCATAAAACACTTAATTAATGCCAGCTCAACCCAAGTGAAGGTTAATGTCAGTTTATTAGGAAATGTTCTTAGTGTCTCATTGTGGTGCTTGTTGTCGTCCTGACAGGGGAGAACCGCTTGGTGACAGTGGGCTCTAAGCAGTCTTATGTTGTTCTGTCCAAGCTGTCTGCTGGGTCTTCTTACATAATCACTGTAACTACGACACAAGGCCAATTCCAGAGTGATCCACTCACATCCGTCATCACCACAGGTACAATCTTAGACAAGTTTACTATTATAAAAGGCTACTGTCTTTGTCTTGGAGTGCAAAAATAAAACATAAACACTGTGGATAATATCCGAACTGCAGTGCCCACCCCTCCAACGCATCTTCAAGTTGTCAATGTGACAGACACCAGAGCTGTGCTGCAGTGGACTCCCAGTCTAGGGAAAGTAGACCGCTTCGTCATCAGCTACGAGTCCTCTAAGAGTGAGTGTGGCCACACTGACATAATGACTAATGAATAAGTGCTTGCGACTAAGCGGAGTGCTCTTATTGCCACAGCTCCTAATGTGACAGTGACCGTGACCTTGTCAGGAAACTCAGTGGAGCACCAGCTGAGAGGCCTGCAGAGAGGCACCCTCTACAGGGTCAAAGTGCTGAGCCAGAAGGACAGTCTACAGAGTATGGCCATCTCAACAACATTTACTACTGCAAATGGTGAGCAAAAGGGTGGGAAAATGAAGTAAAATCATAATCTTAAACAAGAGAGAATAAAATAATTCTTCATGGATGAGCAACCAGAGAGTATGTTTAGTTTTAAGTGAGTAAACTTAAAAAAAGAAAAAAGAAAAACTGCCAAGGGGCTTCTTGTGTCTCTCAGTGGTCAAAGCCAGTGAAGTTGGGGCTCGAAGTGCAGTCATAGCTTGGAGAGCCACCCCTGCCGTTTATCACAGCTACAAAGTGCTCTATCAGGTGGCCGGAGAGGAGACAAAGGTCGGTTGCAATTTTTGATCTTTGGTATACAATAATTAAAGAGAGACCCGACTTTTACAGAATTTCAAAGCTCTGTGTGTGTTACTGTGTTTATATTAGGAGGTGATTCTGGAGCCCACCATCACAGAGTACAAGTTGACTGGGCTTTTGCCCATGTCCCGCTATTTTGTTGTGGTGCAAGGCGAGAGAGATGGACACTATACATCTGTTGTCACCACAGAATTCATCACAGGTATGCATTTTACGTGTTGCAATGTAATCCAATCTTGTGATTACTCTAAAAACTAATTTTCTTTATCTGTTAGGAAAACTGCGCTTCCCTTTCCCTACCGAGTGCTCTCAGGAGCTGCTGAATGGAGCTCTGCACTCAGGAGAGTTGGACATCTACCCTCAAGGACGAGAGGGGCGAGCAGTTAGAGTCTACTGTGACATGGAGACTGATGGAGGCGGCTGGACAGTAAGACAAACTGCAGTCACTTGAATAAAAGTCGAAAATAGACTTTTATTTGGGTTTTAGACAGCAGTCTCTGTGTTTTGCAGGTGTTCCAGAGGAGGATGAATGGAAAAACAGATTTTTTCAGAACATGGAGTGAATACAAAGCTGGCTTTGGAAACCTAAGTGAAGAATTCTGGCTTGGTACAGTATAAAGCCAAACTTCTAATCACTTTATCTAATTCAAAGTGTTTTCTTTTGTTTTCACTACATCTGCTTAAACGGCATGTTTTCTCCCAACTCCCACCAGGAAATGAGCTCCTGCACAACCTGACTAATGTTGGCCCTGTGAGTCTGAGAGTGGATATGCGATATGGAAACCATACCGTCTATGCTCACTACACGAACTTCTCTGTCGATTCAGAGACAAGGCACTATACGCTCACCGTGTCTGGCTACACCGGAACAGCAGGTCCACTTTCAAAAACTGCATTAAAACAAAACAAGTTCAGTTATACCTGAAAATTTGGATCTCAATATCAATGCACTTTTCTGACAGGTGACTCTATGAGGTACCATAACGGTCGTCCATTCTCAACCCGAGACAAGAACCCTGATCCCATGGGGATCCACTGTGCCAAGGCCTACATGGGAGGCTGGTGGTATAAAAACTGTTACAAGGTCAACCTCAATGGTCTTTATGGCATCAACAGTAACAATCAGGTACGACTAATCTCTGCTGATTTCTAAATGTTTTTATCTTTTAAAGCACACTGGCCAAAGAGATTTTCTTTTTCTGTTTCTGCTCTAGGGAATAGTCTGGATAGACTGGAAAGGTAAAGACTCCTCCATTCCCTTCACTGAGATGAAGTTCAGACCCTCCAGGTTCTCCCCTGCAACTCATGGGTAAGGATGGACCAGCCTCCATGAAAACAGAAAATTAAAGCTCCAGAAATTTTCGAGAACCTTCGATCTCACGGTTTCTGTGTCTCTGTCCGAATAAAATAACCTGTAGTTGTTTTGATAGCTGCAGCTGTCAGCTCATTTGATTCAATGCGCAAGTAATTTTCTGATCTGTTTTTATAGCAGACGTAAAAACAAATTTTATTGTAACTTTTGAATTCTGTTCTACTGTTCTGCCTGACTCATTCATTTCAATACAAATGTGTTTTGTGCCCCAAAATTGTATGCCACCCCACTACTACTGTAATTAAACATGCACTGTTTCACTCCATTGGAATAAATGTGGCTAACCTTGGTCTCGTGAGTTTTTATTTCCTGAAAGCAATTTACAATTTCTCACCTCCCTGCGTTCGTCGTGTTACAAGATGAAGAAACACAGGCTTGACAGATTGTAATGTCAACTAAAATGTGTTAACATGCCCTTTAGTGAGTGCAAATCATGTCTAGGCTGTCTTGTGCTGCATTTATCACATCAACAGTCATGCTGACCTAACAAATATTTGGATGTCCTTGATTATAGCGAAAACACCAAACACTGCAAGGGCGTAGATTTGGCATGGACGGAAGGGACATGTCCCCACCAATATCTAGCGATTATTGAATTATTTTTGGTGGGGACAAACTCCCGGCACATCATTTTAGGCTTTGGCCCACATCAGTCTAAAATTGTATGTAACCATGAATAACGTGTTACCATGGCCACCAGGAGAGACTGGACAGTATAGATGTAAAACAAATATGGCAGCAGTTTATATCAGTTAACGAGAGGAGAGGGCATGTGTTTGGTTCCTTCACATAGTGGACATTGAGTTGTTGTTGGGGCACCAGTAGTCCATGTCTGTTGCTGTAACAGTAGTTCATGTTTAGAGTAAAACATCCCAGCTCACTGACTTGATAGGGGCAATAGTGCCTAAAATGTTGCATAATTTTGCTAAGAGATCTGTTACTTTGTGGTAATCTTAGATGAGTAGTTTTATGGACAAAAACCACCAGGTCATTCAGTGTTCCCTTAGTGCTAATGTATCAGAGATGTTGGTGTACTATAACTGAAATAATGATGTTAAGTCCTTAAAGTCATATTCTTTTATTGTCATGACTGTATTTGAAGCTATTTTTACTTTTGTATGATACCTGATTTATATGGAATATGGCTGAAGTAAACTAAAGTATAAAATACTTAGTCAATCATTTGTTTAATAGTAACTTAACATTATATAATTCACATATAAAACTATGAATTGT